TAAAAATATTTAAATATTTTTAATGAATTAATACATAAAAGTATTTATTAAAAATATTTAAACAATTTCAAATGAAGTTTTAATATTTAAAGGGTTCTGAATGTTATTATTTTATTTTATTTTTCCTCATAGCATTATATATATAAAATAGTATCTAAGTATTAACTAGATTGAGTGGGATTGCTTGACCAAATCAAGTAGTTATTCTTTTCTTCATTTGGTCAGGAACAAAATCAAGATGTTGACGACTGTTCAAAAAAGAAAAAAAATCAAGATGTTGACAACATTGAGTGTTACGAGTCAAAACGCATTAGTCACCTCACAATGTACTCTTCCCTTCTCTTGAGCTTGGGTTTGACTGACCTTTCGTCAACTTGTTAAAAAAAAAAAAATCAAGTTGTTGACGTAAGTAAGGACTATTATAAACTTGAAATCATGAACTTTATTCAATGAACCCCTAAATTAAGGAAATATGCGTAAACGGATAATTTTGCTGCAAGATGAATTGCGTGGCCTTTCATTTTGCTTTAAAGCAATAGAGTCCTTAATTTTTGTTCACGATCACCATTGCCTCACTCCAATGTTCATTTGGGTTCTTAAACTTTAAGGTTTTTATATTTTTCAGTGGGGTCTTTGTAGTTTGTACAACATGAAAGATGCTCATGGGAGTCCTTTAAACGTGTTGTTAGTGACATTGCACAATGAATTGTCAAATGGTCCGTTTAACTTCAAATGATCGGGATGAATTAAAATTTTTAAAAGTGGAACTCATATGTATGAAATTTTATTTACCTACTTATTATCAATGTTTTCAAAACCGGACCGGTCATTGAACCGTTTTCAGGTCCGGTTCCCGGTTTGACCGGTTCAACCGGTTGAACCGGTGAACCGGCCGGTCCAAACAATAAAGAATGTTTGATGAGAGGAGCAAGCTATAGGCATTGATTTTTTTATTTGGTATTGATAATTTTGTAATTTTGTTAAAGTTAAAGGTTAAAATGAGTATAAGAAAGGAATGGGAAGGGTGAAATTGGAAAAAATTGAAAGAAGATTGCATGAGAAATTGAACCGGTGGTTTCTGGTTCCATCGGTTCTATCGGTTTTTATCGGTTTTATTGGTTTTTGACCGGTTTTTACCGATTTTACCAGTTTTAACCGGTTTTGACCTCAAATAGTTTTCTTATATAAACCGAACCGTTTTCATGACCGGGTACCGGTCCGACCGGTTCAACCGGCCAGTCCGGTCCGGTTTTAAAAACCTTGCTTATTATAAAAATACTATTTACCTTTTCTAATCGCGTGGAGTAGTCCTCCCTTGCCCTTCATTTTCACCCTATTTTTTCATTTAGTTGGAAGTTGAAACTATATTTTTCTATTTATATGTAATTGTAGTTTTAATTTTATAGAGGTGCTATTTTAGGAAAGCTTTTACAAAAAATGATTTTCCTAACCTTTGCTTTGAGAATGTAATTAGTGCACATTTTTTATATCAGCTAATATTGAAAAATAAAAATTAACATTTATTTAAATAATTGTTTAATTAAAATGATTGATGTGGTATTAATGTTGAAATTAATGATAATTTTTATATTTTTAATACTAATTAATATTAAAAATAGCCAACTGGACCTGTGGCCCAATTGGTTGGCCCCCGAGTTTTAGGGTTCGAGTGAGGCGGAGGTCAGGGTTTCGAGTTCTGCCACCACCGTGAACTCCACCAACTTGCGACCTAATGGTCGCACGCCTCGAATAAGGGGTGGAAGGTTCACTTTCCTAGAAAAATTCTAACTGCTAACAAACTAACTCTACTAACTTCCTAACCGTTTATCTGGTCAAAAAAAAAAATAATAATAATAATATTAAAAATATGTCATAATTACATATTTAAGACACATGTTAGAAAAACTCTTATAAAAATTCATATCAAATTATGAAATCAGATAAAATAATCATAAAAATTTTAAAAATTAATTAAAATTATCAAATTCAAAAACTTAACAATAAAGCTTT